ATTTTACTTAATAAAAATGTCAAGAGCTACTGAATAAAAAAAAACAGAGTTTGAGTAATTGGTTAAGTTGGTTTATTGGGTAATGTGGATTGATCATAATAAAGGTCTTAGGTAGAAGCTTTTTTTTCTGTATGTTATAGATGGTTAAAACAAAGATGGTTAAAACATCTCTTTAAATTTTAATTATAAGCTCACTAGATATATTCTAAAGTAGATTTTTTATTCAAAATGGAGCACACATTTAAAGAGAAAGTGTATTCAAAATGATGCATACATTGAAACAAAATTTTATCAAAACTTTAAAAAAAGTGTTTTAAAATTGGTCTCTAACATATAAAAAATGTTTAATCTAGAAAAAATTTCATTTTGAAAAAATATTTTTAAAATGAAATTTTGAAAATATTTTTGAAAATTTTTAATTTAATTTTTAATTTAAATTGTGTGCTGTTTGTAGAATTTGATGGTGAAAAAAAAAAGGCAAAAATTAGCAATACTTTGTAATATATTTTAAAACAGTACATAATTAAAACATTTTCCACATTCCGAACAGATTTTGAAATGCATTTTTTGTTGTTGCAAAAGCTGGCATTTTTATGTGCGAGTAATTAACAGCAATTTTAATAGTAGTATTTTAACGTTGTTAAATTCAATAAAAAAGTTAAAAGCGTTTATTAGTTTCTAAGTTAATGTCGATAAATTAACAACATTAATTTAAAAACTAATAAACGCTTTTAACTTTTTTATTGAATTTCTAAACGTCATGTTTATCTTAATGTTTTTTAATAATAAAAAAAATTTAAAAAATAAAGAAGTTTAAAAAAATAAAGATATTTAAAAAAATAAAGATCGCAAAAGAAAATTTTTGGAAACAATAGGAGATGCAGTGGTATACAAGGTATTTTACATATTAACAACATAGAAAATCATTTAAAAAATTTGGACTTAAATTTGAAATTTGAATTTAATTTCCACTACTTATTTTAATTTCTGTTTTGACTTGATTGTATTCATTAAAATTAATGAATATAAAGAAGTCAAAAAATGAAATTAAAATAAGTAGAAGTGGAATATGGTGAAAAAGGTGCATGAAGTTTTTTGTGTACTTTAATTTTTAAAGTAGTTTTTAAAATCTGTAATTATAGTTTAATGTAATAATAATATGATAATAAAAGAGAGGCTTATAGTTGATCTTGTACAGTTTATGAGTGACATTGGCTTCAGCTTAAAAAGGAATGATATTTTAACTGTGGTTGAAAACTATTTGAAGGAATCTAAACAAACTCATTTATTCATGACCAGTAAACATACTCAAAAGTGGTACAATAGTTTCATTGAAAAATATGCGAAAAATATCTGTGAAATAAAGGTTACTAGCATGCAAGCTGTAAGAGCGGTGTCTTCACATCCAGCAATTATTGATGAATGGTTCAGCCAAGTTGACATTATTTATCAAAAACATAATTTAAATGAAAAGCCATTTCATTTGTTCAACTGTGATGAAAGTGGATTGAAATTTGAAAAGGTAAAGTCGACTTTGTTTGTCAAAAAGTAATAAAAAATCCAAAACAATTTGCCCTAACATGAAAAACATATGACTACACATTTAACCTGTTGCCATGGTTTTGGAAATCTCCTACCTCATCAAGTCGTTTACAAAGGTTGAAATTTGAAGAAAACTTGGGTTAAAGGAGGTGCTTCTGATGTTTATTATTCTACCAGCAAATCAGGTTAGATGAAATGCAAAAATTTCATAGAATGGTTTCGTTCAATTTTTTTAGTTCACGCAAACAAACTTCAAGGATCTAAAATTCTATTTTTAGACAGCCATGCATCTCACATTAATTTTGAAGTAAAAAGATTATCTGAATCAAACAACATAATTTTATTCCGATTGCCAGCTCACGCAAGTAATTTTTTGCAACCACTTGATTTTAGAGTTTTTAAAACAGTAAAGGCGAAATAGAAGCGAATTGTAGAAGTTTACTTGGTTAGAAATTATTATTTAATTTTAAGTGAGCGGCAGTATCCAGCCATGCTAAAAGACTTTATTGCAAATAAAGGCTTTAAAGCAAAAAGTGCACATAGTGGTTTTAAAAATACAGGCATATTTCTACTCAATGGTTCAAAAATAACTGCAATCGGCACTATTTATTAATATGTAACAAATGACAAAATTGAGAATTGTTTTTCTGGAAAGTCTACCAATTCATAAGTTTCTCTCGATAAAACAAATTCAAAAAACTATGAATAGACTTTCAACAAAAGAAATATTGCTCAAAGAATTAGATAGCATCAAAAATGCAGTTGAACAAGCATTTTTTGATATTAATAAATCAATGCTCAGTGTGCTTAGAGATTGATTAAAGCCTCTTTCCAGTAGTAAAGAAAGGGGAACAATAATTTAAAGAATAACAAGTTATAATATGACTGAACTATCTGCAATTGCTCAGGACGAAGTAACACAAGCTGTTAAAAAAAGAAAACTAGATTAAAAAGAAGCCAGAAAAGTTATTAGAGAAAAAAAAGTTGGACTCTTAAAGAACCGAAATATAACAAAACAATGAAGATATCTGCTAGTCAAAATATTGAGTGTCTTCCTGCTGCCAGCTGTGATCCCTACCATATCAATCGTCTTTGTATTTCCTGCAGAAGCCTTTGGGACAAAACTACAAGTAGCAAATGGGTTGCATGTGAAAGTGTTCTATCTGGTCGTGTATTCCTTGTATTATCAATTATCACAAAACAATTGAATTCGTGTCCAAGGAGTGTGAATAGCTTTTATTAGTTTTAGTTTTTATAGCTAGACGTTTTAAAACAATATTTTTTGAATACAACAATTTTTTCATTATAGTTTTTTAAAAATTATCAAATCTGTACAGTACAGCTAGGGTTGCCACCTCCAAATGAATTAGTATTCATTTGGAGATAGCAAGGGTAGCTGTACTGTACAGATTTGATAATTTACAGATAATAGACAAGTACAGATATATTGCTGTGATACTGTTTAATAAAAAATAACTGCGATTCACGTTATTATTCTTCGCCTATTTAATGGCGAATAACTAGGTTATAATGATGGTAGGTTATAAAATAATAATTTTTAGTGAGAAAAATTAATGGAACAAGTTTTCAGTCTTTGAATTACTTTCATTTAAAAATACAACTGCGTAAGAAAACAATGGAAGACAGGATCTAATGAATAGATATTGCACACTCTGTACCAACACAATGTTATACCTTTACATTAAAATAAAGGTAATTTTAAATTAAATTTTTTTTTTTACCTAACTCTAAGCTAGAGGTCTACCCTAGTATAAATTATTTACTTTTTCAAATTGAATGCTATTTTTTGGGATATAATATGTCCGTTCAGAATTAGGAACACATGTTTCTAATTCTGAATAAAAACTTTACTTTTTAAATTTAAAAATTAACAATATTTTTATAATAGATATACTTGTTGCCTAATATGGTTTGATTCAGTTTAAGTTCCAGTTTATTTATTTAAAAAAAATAATTTGAAATTCAAAAAGCAAACGGAGTTATTCAACTTTAAGTACCATTTTGTTCGGAATTAGGGAAATCTATGGTATTACTGGATTCATTTTTTCTGGAGGCTTAAGCAGTACCATGTAGTGATATAATATTTTCATCGAAACAAGTAGATAAAGCAGTGTAGCAGTTTTTCATTATATAAACATAATGTTCACGATCACACTGCTACTGGCATCATGTAACTTAGTACCACCCTGCTATCTAACCTTAGTACCATGTCCTACTGCCTTCTAGGGTTTGGTTTTTTCTAAGCAAAGGCTAGGAGAAACTAACTCTGACTTAAAAATCCCCTGCCTTGGGGTTTATTAGTTGAGTTAAGGCTAAGGATGGTGTCTCGATGAAAATCATCTTGTACAGATATTTACTGCATCAAGCTAATGTCTTGTAGAAAGCCTCCTAGGCAAAGACTTTTGGAGAAACAAAATAATCTGTCGACTAGCAGCAAACGTCTTCTTCATCCATTTGGCTGATGGAATCCTGTGTTATTTTCCCATTGTTGCTCTATAAACTTTTATTTGTCTAGTTTTTTTCCATGCACTTTAACACTTTGAAACTCTCTCCCATCTTCGTGTTTTCCTGACTCATACCACCTACAACTTTTCAAGTCTTCTGTCAACCTTTTACTTGCTCTTTAACTCAAGTTTTCTAGTGTTTCCCCTGAGTTACTCTAGTTTTACTTTTTAGGAACAGGAATCTCCTGGTACAACTCCAAAAGCTTTGAAATACCAGCATAATAATAGAAAATTTAATAATAATAATAATAACAGAAAAATTTCCTAAACTTTGTTTGCTTTTTTGCATACATTGCTTGTACTTTCTAATCTACGATTATTAATTTAGTTATATATTTATGTATATAAAATCAATATAATCGATTAATACAATTGTCATATATTCTGAAAAAATGTTATTTCAAGGGTATTTACAAATACTAATGCTACTAAACTTAAGTAAACATCTAAAGAGCTCATCTTTTTATATGATAATTATTATAAATAACAATGATAATAACAATAAAAATTATAATAATAACAATGATAATATTAATAACAACAATAATAGTAATAATAATAATGATAAAAAATGACAATAACAACAATAATAATAACAATACTATAATAACAATATTATGAGAGGGAAAATTAAGGGAATACTTAAAGCAGGCTTTTTAAAGACAATAGTCAATAGTGGTTTGAATTACTGTGACTCAAATATTGAGATTTTAGACACTTTCAATTTTAAATATTTATGCTTTACCTTTATTAATAATATTTCAAACTATATTGACTTTATTTTACAAAAACAGTCTATTATTTTTTCTATAGAAAAATATATTTGAATAAATTTTTGATTTAATTTACAGTTAGTCATTCTCTTTTTAGTTAAAATTTGTTTTTATATATTATTTTTTAATTATTGCTAATAAGTTAATTAATGTTTTTTAGAGACGTGTACAAAACAATAACCCAGATCGATTATATAGTTGACTATGGAACAAGTTTAAGGTGTTTTGATGGATACGAACTAAACAATAAAAGTTATTGTATCCGTAAGTTTTTTTTGAATCCAATTTAATTGAGTATTTTTTTAATAAAAAGATTGTCTTGAAGTTCTTATTATCAAAATGTGAAATAGCAAAAATCTCAAATCTCATCCAAATGTTATTTTCTTAAACTAAATGTTTAGTAGTTGTTTAGGTTTTATTATATCAGGTGTTGTCTCTTTTGTTATCAGGTGTTTTCGCTTTTGTTATCAGGTGTTGTCGCTTTTGTTATTAGGTGTTATTGCTTTTGTTATCAGGTGTTGTCGCTTTTGTTATCAGGTGTTGTCACTTTTGTTATCAGGTGTTGTTGCTTTTGTTATCAGGTGTTGTCGCTTTTGTTATCAGGTTGCAGCAAACAGGAAAACTTAAAAGTTTATTAAAAAGTAATTAAAATCATTATATTGTTGAATTTCATTTAACCGTAATTTTGAATGTGACCATCACTTTTTGATGCATAGTCTATTATTAATCAGAATGTTTGTTAATATTGCAGTAATTTTTTTATATGAATTTTTAGTAATTTTTAGTAATTTTTTTTGTTATTACTCTTATTTTTAATCTGACAATAACATAAATTATAATAAATTATAATAAATTATATACTCATCTGGTTAAAGATCAAGAACCTTTAAAAATTAATGCTTGAAATAAAAAATAACTTTATGGAAGATATTTTAGCCTAAAGTGAGAATAGGCTATAGACCCTTTGAGTATATTTGGTTGAGAAATGCTAAAGTCTTTAGGATTTCTTAACCAAATATACTCAAAGGATATATAGCCTATTCTCCAATCTATACACATTCTAATTTGAATTTTTTAATGCAATGCCAGTACCGATGATATTTATTGCAATATACATTTCTGCGCTGCAGAAAGTGAACAACCTTTAAGTTAACTAAAATTGATATAGAAAAATGATTGAGCCACTATAAAACAAAAGATTTAAAAACATCTATTGAACATACATGTTGAAAATGAATTAGATACATTTCTGTTGTATGATGACATAATAATAATAGTTTTTTATATATAAATACACCAAAAATTAAATTATAAGAAGTCATAATGTCTTAACTATTGTAAATTTTCACACATTTGTGGAATATGCTGAAACTATAATAAAAAGAGTTCTTTAGAATTGATTAAAAACATCGAGCTCTCTATTTTTTAGAGTACATTTTAAAATTATTTGTATGTATGTGTGTGTGTGTGTGCGTGTGTGTGTGTGTGTGTATATATATATATATATATATATATATATATATATATATATATATATATTTGTATGTATGTATATATATTAAAATTCTTTATTTTAGCGAATTGTGGTGTGGAAGGATGTGAGCATGGCATTTGTATAAGTCCATTAACTTGTTCTTGTGATGATGGTTTCTTTGGTTCAAACTGTAAAACTAGTAAGTCTGTTTAAAAGCAACTTCTAAAGTGTGTTTCTATTTGTTTAATTATTCAATTTATATATAATTCAATTTATTTTTGTATTTTATAATATAGACTTTTTTTTAAGAGTGCCCATATAATCGGTATGGAAAAAATTGTGAAAAGTCTTGTATGTGTAAAAATGATGGCAATTGTAGCAATGTCAATGGAATATGTTCTTGTCAGAAAGGATGGGTTGGTAATTATTGTGAAAATAAATGCACAAATGGTACCTATGGTGACCAGTGTTTAAACAAATGTGAATGTGCAAATGGTATTTGTGATCATGTTGATGGAAACTGTATTTGCTCTAAAGGCTTTACAGGAATAAGGTATGATTTGTTGTTGAAGATTTGAAATTTTTCATTTTAACTTTTTAGAATATGTATATGTGTGTTAAAATATTTAATTAAAAACATTTTTTATATTTCTAATCTTGTTTTTCTTTTTCCATTAGCATTTCAATTTCAAAATTAATTGAAATTTTATAAATAAAAATGTCAAGAATATATATTTTGATATAAAAACTTAAGATTAAAAAGAGAAATTTGACAAAATAGAACAAATACATTAATAATAAAATAACAGACAGGGTTGATAGATTTAAACCAAATGGTTTAAATCTATCAACCCTGTGTGTTATTGTAGGTTAGATTGTTTGATAGATTAAAACTAAAACGTTAATATCTATCAAACTTATCAAACCATTTGATAAAATTTCAATAAAGCCAAGGTTATGTATTAAAAAGTCAAGAACAGGCTTAAGTAGAGAATACTGACAAGTTTATTGTGCCATGTTCAGTGATTGATGATCAACAAGATTCTCTCTTTTCAAACCCCTATTCCGATGTTGAGCATCCTTTAGGTCCAAAAACCAGAATTTTTAGGGGATAGGAAAATTTGGATATGACAGTGTACATACATCAACTTTTTTATATAGCCATAGGCACAGTGAGTGCATACAACAACTGAGGGTTTGGACAGGTTGTCTTGAACTGAAAGAATAATCTTTTTCATGTTTGTGGATGTCAAGGACACTGTTGGAATAAGAGTTTGACAAGAGAGCTAACCAATCAATAATGCCATGCTCAGTATGTTGGAAGCAAATTCTTTTGTTTTACAGTTTGCAAGCAATGGATTCATAAAAAAATATGATGGTATACAAAGTACTTTTAAAGGTTGATTTAAAAAAGTACTGAAATCCTCTTAATCAAAATGACAAATGATTTGAAAAAATGTCAATTTAAACCAAATTAATATTATTAAACAACTATAACTTTGCTGTTAGAAAGCAAAGCAGGGTTATGTTTACAAATAGAACTTACGAATAGATCTTTCATATAAATATTTAATGTGAATGCACTTGTTTAAAAGCATAAAGATGCTTCTAAAAATAGTGAGTTATCTTTTGTGCTGCAATATGGTCATTGGGATAGAATGTAGAAAAAAAAGATGAGTCATATAATCTCGAGTGTACACGTGTCACAGTGAAACATGGAAAAAAAATCATGGTTCAGGTGCATTTGCTGCCCATGGAGTGGGAAACCTATAGTAGTAGGGCAATGGCAATGGAAATGGCACCAAGCAAAATTTTTTGAAAATAACAACACATTTTTATAAAAAATAGTTAAAAAAAAAAGTAAAACTGATTTGGGCTTCAACATTAAAAAACCGACAAAAGTGGGAATAATAGTGCAAACATATATACTTCACACTTGAATGTAGCATGTTGCAAAAGTTGGCTAAAATGTAAAGAGTGAATATAAATAAAAAAGTTTAAATATTTTTGTCACCCATAAAATAAAAAGTCTGATAAAAAAGTGTAAACTTTACAGAGTTTACACTTGATCGAATAAAAACAAAACATCAGTTAAAAATTTTTTTAATTATCAATCAATTTTTAATTTGTTTGGGATAAAATAATTGGTTTTGTTAATATTTTCTTTTTTACTCTCATCTTTAGTAAGAATAAAGTTGCGCCTTATTTTGAGACCATAAACTAGCTTAGATGCTTTGACATTACAGCATGTTTAATTGATTGATAGTTTGGAAAGATATGTAAGTGGCAAAACCTCTCCAGATTCTTTTTTGTTCTTCATTTTTTAATTATCAATCAATATATCATTTGCTTGTGATGAATTTTTTTTAACTTTTCTTTTTTACTCTGATCTTTTATTAAGAATTTTTTTGAGACCAAAGCTACTTCGATACTTCGTTTACTTTGTAGCACGTTCAATTGATTAAGGGTAACTTTGGAAAATGTGTAAGTGGCAAAGTCTTGCTAGATTCTTTTGTGTTCTTTAGATCAACAGAGGAAACACTAATTGTTGTGAGAGGTTCAAATTTGTAATATCTGAAAAAAATTATTGCAACTATACAACCAAAATGTCATCATTTAGTGTATACACGCTCTCATCAATTGAGAAGGACTCATTTGGAATGTTTCCAAACAATTTATCAGCAATTTCAATTTTTTTGAACTTGGCCCAGGGCATAAGTTCCCTTACATCCGATGAGACAAAATAAATTTTCAACAAGTTATTGGTTTTTGATGTTAGTAGGTGTCATAAGTACTCTGTTTTAGGACATAAGTTTTTTCATTATTATCATTGTCTCATTCAACTTAAAAAAAAACACAAATAACTTGGGTTTGTTCATTGTCACAAGTCATTAGGTTGAGTCACAATAAACTTTTTTATAGCAAAACCATGATCTTTAAAAGCATGTGCATTGTAATTGTTTATTTGTTCCAATGAACTGCATTTTTTTTAAACATATGTAAGACTTCAATAAAGTGCTCACTGTCCCTAATAACTTGATAAACATTAACATATTTCTTATAAAATTATCCAATAATGAGTTAAACATCAATATTTCACATTATATCCACGTTTTCCATATTATCTGGAATTACTTCATTTATTTCGTTCTCTAGCTTTTGAATAGCTGTAAAATAGTTTTATATTCGAATCCAGCCCACATATCCTTGAAATACTACTTACAGATAGATTTTACAAAGCTGTCATGTCATGTTACAAAACTTTTTATGTCATTAACACCAATTGGTATTTCTTTTATACTTAAGTAAGTTTTTAAAAAATATTCCTTACCAATGCTAAAGACAATATGGTGCCCCACTGATTTACGGTGTTTATTTTTTAATTTATAGAAGAATGTTGTTTTTGGTTTTTCAAAACATTTAGAATACTTAATAATTGACATTATTTCCAATTTAATTTTTGCTAATTGCCTCTTGAATAGTAGAATTTAAGTAATTAGAATTAGTAAAACATTTTCTTGTGCCAGGATACCAGGAGTTTTCAAACATTTTCTTGACATTGGCAAAAAGTATTAAGATAATTGCTATTAATAATAAAAATTTGTTTATTAGTTGCATTATGGCCAAAATTATAAAAATAAACATAAATATTAAAAATTAAAATACCAAAGTTAGCTTCTACAATAAAAAGATATCTATTATTTATTATGTATTATTGTTACTCAGACAGCTAGAAAAATATTTATGTGTAAAATTAAATATTCAAAGTTACCCTGATTTTGGTTATATATTAGCTGAGTGAAAAAAATATATCCTTTTTGTAGCAAAAAACATATTACTTTGAGTTTATGTTAAAATTTGACCAATAGTTTAATAAAATACAAAAAAATCTTACCTAATATTCACAATATACATAATATTCGCAATACATTACAAAATTTTATTTACTATGGTAAAACTTCTGTAAAACAAGTAATTTATCATGTTGTCTCATTAGTTGACAAAGAAATTACCAAAGAAAAAAAATTGAAAACATTTACAGGTTTAATTTAATGTTATTCACAAATTCAATGTTACTCAGAATGACTTTATGAAAAAGTTGATTATTTTACTGTTCTGCACAGTGCGCTAGAAAAAAAAAAATTAATACATATTGAGATATCTACCTTAAAGTGGTAAGCACAATCACCTGATTCAATTGAGAATCTGTGATCTATATTAGATCCTAAACTCAGAAACATAGAAATCACACTGACTTGTTGCCCCATTTAAAAACAATCAGGCATCTATATATATATATATATATATATATATATATTATATATATATATATATATATATATATATATATATATATATATATATATATATATATATATATATATATATATATATATATATATATATATATATATATATATATATATATATATATATATATATATATATATATATATATATATATATATATGTATATATATATGTATGTATGTATAGTGAATCTGTTCAAAAAAATGTATTACAGAATAGTGGAAATCTCAAAAATTTTGGACTGCAACATTATTATGGATATTGAAGGTTTGTTAAATGCACTAGCTTCTTGTGCTGCAATTGAAAGAATTTTAAAACTGTGTTTTACTGTTCCTCTCATGCAACTCAATTTGTATGCCACACCTTGTTTTTGCCAAACTTTTTGCTGTTCATCCAGCAAGATCAGGTTAAATTTGGATCCATCACTCCGAATTACTTTCTTTCAGTAGTCTTGTCAACATACTTTTTTACAATTTTTTACATCTTTGTTTCAAATGGAATTTTCAAAAAATCAAATTTTTTTGTTTTTTTTTTTAGTTTTTTTCATTCAAAAAAATTTTTTTGGAGGGTTTTTTGCCACGTACTCTACCAAGAAATCCTTTTTTTAAGGTTCTATTTCGGAGAGTTCAAGCTGAAATTATGATTTTATGGTCGTTTATTACTTTGTCTGAAATCTTTTGAGCAGCTTGCCTTTTAAAAAAATGATTCTATTAATGGCAGCAAATGTTTTTTAACGGCCTATTCCTGCTATATCAGACTACATCTCATTCAAATTAATTTTTTTTATAATGTTCTCGGCTGTTCGAAATGATATTCCAGTCTGTTTATTAACTTCTCTGTATCTTGTTTTACAACACGCATGTTATAAATTAATCAATTTTATTCCATTAATCAAAACTCAGGGGTTACATATATATTTTATGTGCTAAATATGTAAATATCTTATGTGTTTTATATGTAAATATAATTTTAGACTTAAACTTACCAAAATTTTATTTTTTTTCCACAAAAATTCAAAAAAATACCAAATAAAATTTTTGCGCCAATAATTTTTTGCTTCCAATATAACACCTGTGTGCTTTTAATGTTTTTAAAAACAATAATCCTTTAGTAAAATCATGCACAAATACATATAAAAATCTTTATAATGGTAGTACTCTTTTATACACATTTAAACCTTTTACACTTTTTAAAAAACATGAGTAAACGGATAAATTAAAAAGAAAAAACTTGCTTGTGCCA